GATGGACACTAGAAAGGGTATGTGCTATGGTGACCACTGTGAATTTTGTGAGATTGATGAATCACAAACTTGTACCCCTGAAACAAATAATACATTTTATGTTCATTTTTTTTAAAGTGAGGTATTGCTGTCTATTTCTTTCTCCACTCAGTTCTATCAATGTTGGCTTTATATATTTAGGTGCTCTGATATTGGGTGCATGTACACTTAATAATTATTATATATTTTTGGTGAATTAATCCTTTTTATCATCATATAATATAAATAATGTATATGATTTTGTTTCTTGTGACAGGTTTGACTTAATGTCTATTTTACCAATATAAGTATAGCCAACTATATTGACTAGTTGCATGCTAAATCAAACTGACATCTCTATTCTCATTGGCCTTCAGACAGCCAATTTGTGTCAGGTCCTATCAGCATTCCAGATAAATTAGACTGAAGTTAGTCCTCTGTGTAGCCTTCAGAAAAATTTAGGTGTTAGAGGCATGGTACATTCCTTACCCTACCCAGGGAAAAGTTGGGATTTTTTTTATCCACTCACTCTGTACTGAATCAGGAAGAGAAGCTATGGGGCTATGACAACTGCCAGCCCAAACCACCATCTCTTTCTCACTGGCTCCAGGCAGCTACATTATGCCAGGTCCCATCAGAGCTCCAAGACAGGCTGGACCAAAGCCAGTCCTCTGGGTAGCCCACAGAAAAATTTGGACATTGGATATAATGACCTACCTCTTTCCCTTCCCAGGAAGCTAGGAGATGGGAGGTTGCCTCCTGATTATATGGTACTGTGTGAGGGGCTGGGATTATGGAAATGCGTCTTGAATTTTCCTACTGCCTCTGATATCAGGACTTTTGTACTCATTTGGGATTCAAGAACCTCTTTCCTAGTTTCTAGATTTCTCACAGAGGGAATCTGTCCATGAATTGTTGAATTGGTGTGCTTGTGGAGTAAAGAGGGCCCAGGGCTTCCTCTTCTGCTGACTGTTAAAAACTCTAAAACTTCTTAATTTTAGTGTAGACAATGTATCAGTATTTATATATAGTCATTCTAACAAGGTCAACATTACCTTGATTCCAAAACCAGACAAAGATCCCCCCCCCAAAGGAAACATATAGGCCAATATCCCTGATGAACAAGGATGCACGATTTCTCAACAAGATACTAGCAAATCAAATCCAACTGTACATTGAGAGAATTATTCACCATGATCAAGTGAGACTTAATCTTGGACTGTGGGGCTGGTTCAATATTTGCAGATCAATCAACATGATATACCACATTAATAAAACAAAGGGTAAGAACCATATTATCCTCTCGATAGATGCAGAAAAAGCATTTAACAAAATACAGCATCCATTCTTGATAAAACCTTCAACAAAGTAAGTATAGAGAGTACATACCTCAACATTATAAAAGCCATTTATGAAAGACTCGCAGCTAATATCATCCTCAATGAGGAAAAACTGAGAGCTTTTTTCTCTACCATCAGGAACAAGACAGGGATGTCCATTTTCACCATTACTATTTAACATAGTACTGGAAGTCTTAGCCTCAGCAATCAGACAAGTAAAAGAAATAAAAGGCATCCAAATTGATAAGGAAGTCAAACATTCATTATTTGCTAATGACATGATACAAAAGAGGGCCCCCTGGGTTGATTATGGAAATGCAGGGGGTGGAGAGTAGCAGAGGGAGAGAGAGAAGCAGCCTCCCCACTGAGCAGGGAGCCTGATGTGGAGCTTGATCCAGGCACCTGAGATCATGATCCTAGAGGAAGGCATACACTTAACCAACTGAGACAGCAAAGCACCCCCATAAGAGACTCTTAAAGATAGAGAAAAAAACTGAGGGTTGATGGAGGCAGGTGGATGGGGATGGGCTAAATGGGCAATGGGTATTAAGGAGAGCATTTGTTATAATGCACAATGAGTGTTATATGTAAGGGATGAATCGTTAAATTCTATTCCTAAAACCAATGTGTCTGCCTGCCTGTCTGTTGCTCTCACACACACACACACACACACACAACACACACACACACAAGTATATATAGTGATATTTTTCAATTATCATTTTCTAATTGTTTGTTGCATATATATGTATGAAGTTAAAACTGATTATATATTGGCCTTGTATCCAGGCACCTTACATTCATTTATTAATTCTAATTGGTTTGTAATTTCTTAGAATTTTCTATATACACAGCCATATCATCTACAAACAATGACATCATTCATTCTTCATTTCCAATCTTTCTACTTTTGTTTTTAACCTTATTTTCCTGGCTAGCATCATCCATACAATGTTGAAAAGGAATACAATTATGAAATGAATATGTTCCTGATCTCAGGAAGAAACATTCACAATTTCATCATTAACTGGAATGTTTACTATGTTTTCTTGCTTCAAATTTCCTTTATCACATTTCAGTAACTTGTCACTAGCTAAGTGGGAACTTTTATAGTGAAAGGATATTTTTTCTTCATATATAAAAATGATTATATTCTTTTTCTCGTTTTCTCTTAATATGGTGAATTATGTTGTATCAACTTTCTAATTTTAAAGCAACCTTTCATTCCTAGATCACCCTTCCCTTCCATGGCTATTTATTTATCTTTTACAATGCTAACAAGATTCAGTTGGAAATGTTTTGTTTAAAATTGCTGCACCTTTAATCAAAAATTGATCTGTAATTTTTTCTTTCTAGTATTGCCTTTGTCAAGTTTTGGTATTAAGGTTAGATTCAATACACTCAACTAATGAGTCATTAAACATTGTATCAAAAACTAATGATATACTATACATTGGCCAATTAAATTTAATTTAAAAAAATAAAGGTAGACTAGCCACATAGAAAAACAGGAAATGCTTCTTCTTTTTATATTTTCCAGATAAGTATGTGTAAAATAGGTATTACTTCCTCTTTTAAATGTTTGGAAGATGTAATGGTTTGAATTACTTTCCCAATTCTTCACTCTTTTCCTAGTATATGATTATTCATCCATATTTTTTGCCATGTGACTTTTTAGTATCTCCTATTAGAGTGGTAGAGTACATCATACACATCTACTCACTGATGGTTGAGTTTGATACTGTGACTTGTTTGTTCAATGCAATACAAGATGATGTGATTAAGCAAGTGCTGACTCAATTTGTCTGGGCTCTTTTGCTCCTGAAGCATGCCACAAAAACAATATGCCCTAGTATTAACTTTGTGAGAAAGTTTTAAATGACAGTTTTCAGGTCTTTAATGGAAGACTTATTCAATATTTTCAATTTTTCTCTATTCTATTTTGGGAAAGGTGGAAGGATGTGGTTTTGGAGGAATCCATACATTTCATCTAAAAATTTAAATTTATTTTAAGTTATCAACAGTGTTCTCTTTTCTTCTAATGTCCAAAAGATTAAAAATATGTAATTTTATTATCTGATATTGATATTTTATAACCTTACTTTTTATTTTGAACTACTGGATAAATTTTTTTTCTGTTCCCATATGCTTCAACAGATAATGTTTATAAACACTTGTCTTAATGAAAGAAGATGTTAGGTTAAGGACACATTATACACATTCCAATGAATTAAGCATAGAGCTATTCTAATATCTTTCTAGACCTAAGTTTACATACATTTATAGCTTAATGAAAAAAGATGTTACTTGACAGAAGGTTTATACACAGTACAGTTTTAATTACATACATTGATCTTTTCAGGAATCAGTCTCTCTTTGCTCACTTTTTCTGTTATTTTTCTGTTCATTTTTCTTTTCATTCATTTCTGCTCCTTCCTTAATTATTTCTTCCCATCCACTGTCTTCAAGTGCAATTATTTCTTCTTTTTGTGTCTTTTTGATAGAGATTATAATAAAAAAAAGATTGTTCTATGTCCTGTAATATGCATTTCATTGTGATTAGAGGGTTGAAGTATAGTCTTGCCTTGAGAGTAGCAATATGACTAATTTTTGCAGAACCTAAAATAGTCTGCCTTGACAATAAGATTAGGAAGTTGTGCTTTTATTTTTTTAATTTTTTAAATTCAGTTGTTAACATATAGTATATTATTAGTTTCAGGGGTCGAATTTAGTGATTCATTGGTTGCCTATAACACCCAATGCTCATTATATCAAGTTCCCTCCTTAATGCCCATAACCCAATTACTCTATCCCACACCCACCTCCCTTCCATTAACCCTCACTTTGTTTCCTATAGTTAAGAGTCTCTTATTGCCTCCCTCTCTGTTTTTAATAATATTTTATTTATATTGCTTCTCTTAGAATTAGAAATGTCCTCAATTTAGACATTTATTTCAACATTTTTTACATGAATATCATTGCATGCAACTTTGTACTGCAAGGATGAAGACGTAACTTGAAAAACAACCTGAGATGCTCTATATTACCTCTTCTTATATTTTATCCATCATGTCGTAAGGGAAATTTTTATACACTGAAAATAAAGGGGAATTTATAATTTAATAAAATGTTCTGTTTGATGACTCCATAGTTTGATCTCTAAATTTAATTTTCCAGATAAGTTAAGACAGTAAAATGAGTGAATATTCCAAGGCTTTAACCTTACTAACAGTAATTTTTTACTGAGGTAATAGTGTAACTATAAGCATAAAAGATATCCCTTATATTATCAGTCCTCTTTGTATTTGTCATTAAGATGTCATTAAGATATAATTGTTCCTTACCAATGCTCAAAACAAAAATCCCACAAAGTATGTGCTTATTGATGCTTGTGTGTATACACAAAAATCACTCCTTTAGTGTAGGTTGGGAGGAGAGGTTGAGATATCATGAGAGCAAGTTTTATTGTTTATTATTATAACACTAAATAACAGTGAAAACCATAAGGAATATCATGAACAAATGTTTTGGTTTCAAATTAACAATTTTACAGTGCTCCTAAACAATTATCAAAACACACAATGCACCAAAGGAAAAAAAAATTACAATGCACAATAGCTAATCACATAGTTCTACACTCACCTTACACTGGGGGATAACCTGCTGTTACTGCTGCTTTCTTCTGGCACAGATCTGTGAAATTGACAAAATTTATCTTAAGTGGAGAAATTCAAAAATCTTGAACAACTAAGTGACTATTTGAATGAAGATTATTTTTCAAAGAAAAATAATGATTCATTAAATATTGTGATTCATTAAATAAAATGTCTCCTTCCAACAAACTAAAACAGATACTGATCTTTTTTTCCTTTTCTTTTTGAATAGATTAATATGCAGTGAGTGTTATATTAGTTTCAGATGTACAATATAATGGTTCAACAATTTTATACATTACTCAGTGCCCATCAAGGTAAGTGTACTCTTAATCCCCTTCATCTCTTTCACCTATCCCCCACTCACTGACCTCCCCTCTGGGAACCAGTTTGTTTTCTGTATTTAAGAATCTGTTTTTTTGTCTTTTAAAATTTCTGTTTCTTAAATTCCTCATATGAATGAAATGATATGGTATTTGTCTTTCTCTAATTGATTTATTTCACTTAGCATTATACCCTCTAGGTTCATTCATGTTGTTGCAAATGGTAAGATGTCATTCTTTTATGGTTGAGTAATATTCCGTTGTGTTTATATACCACATCTTTATTCATTCATCTAAAGATGAATCTTAATATTAGAAGAAATGCCATCATCCACCTTGCTTTTTTGATGAACTCATCTTCATTTTACATTTCCTCAATTATTTATGGGCCCATATTTGTATAGACATGCCCTCTGATTCTATGATACCCCTAACTCTTCAGGCCAAATTAAGCCAAAACCTTAAAGTAGCAGTCAAAAATTTAAGCTAATTTTTCTATAGATTTCTATTTTTTTCTTTCTCTTATAACATATATCTGTGTCTTCTCTTCCTGTCATTTACTGGAGGTTAAAACTAGAGATAAATACTTCTGTGGGAAAATACAGTAAATTATGAATAAGGGGCCTAATAACTATGTATAAATATTTATGTAACTGATTATAGATAATGTGATTTCACTTACTGATTTGGTATACCCAAAAATTTATGATACATTGGAAAGCTATTATTATCTCCCATTTTATAGAGTTATAGAGAATAATTTTAAGAACACAAAGATTAAGTCACTTGCTCAAGGTATCATAGTTTCTGCATACAAGACTTAGGAGTTAAAACAAGGTTTTCTGAAAGTAATTTCTTCCCCATTTCATGATGCTGCCTCCCATCTCCTACCTAGCCTCTGTTTTGAACTGCACATGTAATTTCTGATTAAGAAATGGCTTTACAAACTAGCAATGTCAATACTTAGGAAAATAATATTTTGGAATAATATTTTGGAAGCAGGTTCATAAATACCATTTTAGTTGAGCTGTTCTAATAGAGTTGTCTGAGAGTCTGTATCTAAAAATTTATCTTTTGAAAGTTCCTTTGAAATGCAATGTTATATATTCTCAGAAGCCTTTGGACAACAGACTCTTAATAAGACTATTTCGACAGTTTTGGCTGACTATCAGGCTGAATAAACCTCCACTATCCTCAGCAATCATATCTCCTCTTAAAGAAATACTCATGAGTAAAATGAGGGGAAAAAATGGAGAACATCAAACTGGTTTGAAATGTATCCCTGGACCTCTCCTCATATTGCCTCATATTGTTCTACTTACAATCTTAGATTTTCCTGATGAAACAGGAGTACTTTTTTCTTGACTCATTGAATTTAATAGGAGTAAACATATACATACCTCTCACTTTCAGTTTCCTCTCTGTAGCACAGCTCCCTTATTTTATTCTGTTTTATTAAAACAGTGGCAGTGATGATAAGCACAGGTAGAGAAATGTAGAAAATGAGTACTAATCGGTGTTTTGAAGGAGTGGTATTTTGTTCGCTCAAGTAGCTTTTTCCTATAATAGAAAATAGCCATTTCAAATTATGTTAGAGATTGTATTAACCAGACAAAAATGTGGAAAGGATATCATTACCAACACTATTCCCAAACAGTAAACATTTCAGTCACATATATTATAAATATAATAAATATTAAATAATAAATTAACATATAAAACAGACTGTTACTAGTACTTTATTGATGTCTATAAGTTCTCAACATTGCATCATATAGTGATTTATTTGAATGAAGATAATCTTTCATAAGCACATGTTTAATACCTCCAAACATTTCTTCAGTTTCTTTCTGATACAGCTTATCCAAAATTCAAACATGTATACCACAAAGAGTGTTGGGACTGTACCTATATATAAGAATTAAATTTGGGAAGTGTGACATTTAATCTCTCTCACATTATTAAATATTTTACTAATAATTAAAAATTAGTAGTCACTAAATAACAAATATTTAACTAAGTTCTTTAATCAAATATACAGCAACTGGAAATTGTTAAAATGGCTCTAGAATTATTTTGTAGAATGCATGGCTAAGTCTGGCTTTGACCCATTTCTGTCCAACTAATGTTAATGTTACATTTTTCTCATCAGTTCTTTAAGATTTATTTATTTGAGAGAGAGAGAGAGAGAGAGTGAGCACATCCATGTGTGCACAAGTGGTGGCGGGGGGGGAAGGCAGAGAAAGAGAGAGAATCTCCAGCAATCTCCCCACTGAGTGCAGAGCTGACACAGGGCATGATCTCAAGACCCTGAGATCACAACCTGAGTTGAAATCAAGAGTCTGATGCTTAAGCGACTGAGCCACCCAGGTGACCCCATCATCAGTTCTTACACATTCTCAGCTGACATCTGTATTTATTCCTGAGTATCTGATCTATGTTGCTCCACAACTTTTACCTCTTTGTACATACCAGCCACCTATCTGGGTTTGTAATGTGTCAAACTCTGTTTTAGCCACAATTTATTGGCATGTTTTTGTTTTTGTTGTTTTCCAGATGAAGCAATGGGGAAGTTGACAGGTGGAGGAGCTACCCCCCAGCTATAGTCATGCATGATCATGACTCAATATGTTCCTCTTAGAACTGCCCCAGTGTTTCACAAGATAAAACTTGTGAACCATGAAACTGGATAATTAGCTGAGATTTCTAAGCAAAATATTTAAGGTAGGCCCAGCTCCTCCCAACTGTTCAGAGCAAATGTGAGAGTAGATTGATGAGTTGAAGAAGTGTTAATCAAAGAGATACCAGAACTTAGAGACTTGGAGAATTCTCACCTAACCAAATGCTCAATGTGTGGCTGGAAAGTCACTTGATATTGAGATTATTGCATGTGAACTATTTTAGCAGCCATCTCAGCAGAAGAAAGGAATAGGGATGAGATTATGAAGGCAGAAACCCTGCCAGGTTGAACCGAAGGGAACAGGATGGGACAATGTAGTCATTTCACTGCTGTTATACTTCATTCTTCAAGAAGAGAGAAGAATGCCCCAAAGGTGATTCAGAGATCAGGGTTTTCTTGTCCATCACAGCCCTAGGAGCTTCCCTCCTTGGCTTCAGCTAGGCTGCCCCAGCCCAGCGCCTGGGAGGCTGCAAACTGTTGTGTGGGCAGGGCCAAAAGGGTAGGGGTGGATATCACTGAGGGCTATGGGATGATGCTGTCACTACAGTGGGCCTGGAGGACAGAATATCAAGCCAAAGAGAATATTCTTGAAACTTAAAACTCTAATGCAAGTTAGCTTGCTAGGTTTTGTATTTACTGGGATCTGTCATCCCTTTATCACTTCCTTCCAACTTCTTTCTTCAGAATGAGAATGTCTATCCTATGCCTGTCTCACTGCTATTTTTCATGATAAAATATTGGAAGTTTCCCTAGGAGTAAAATAATGATCACTTCTTTTGTGATTATATCCTTTTATTCTGAATGGATTACCCAAGGCAATTATGAGATGGGGGTAGAGATTAACTAAAGAAAAGGAAAGAAAAATTATTATTAAAAACATGTGGCAAAATTATTAATTACAGTTACATCATTTAACTGCCCTAAAAACTAAAAGACTTGAAAATAGTGATAGTCCATTGATAAAATGTACACACAAAAATTTGTAGGCTTCCTACATGTAAAAAGTAACAAGTTAAAAATACAATGACAGGAAGACTTTCTGACAACAATTTTCAATAAAATGATATTTTTTTAAATGCAAAAGGTAATTTCTGATCCATATTTCATTCTATACCTATAAAGATATCTAAACCACAATGAGTTATCAACTTATACCCGTCAGGATGGCTACAATTTACAAAACAGAAAATAACAAGTTTTGGCAAGGATGTGGAGAAACTGGAATCCTTGTGCCCTGTTGGTGGGAATGCAAAATAATGCATCCTCTGTGGAAAACACTATGGAGATTCTTCAAAAAAGTTAAGCATAGAATTACCATATAACCTAGCAATTCCACATCTAGGTATATACCCCAAATTATTGAAAGCATGGACTCAGATACTAATACACCCAAGTTCATAGCAACATTAGTCACAATCACTAAACCTTGGAAGTAACCCAATTATCCATTGACAAATGAATGAATAAGCAAAATGTAGTATATACCTATAATGGAATATTAACAGCCTTAAATAGAAAGGGAATTATGGTACCTGGGTGGCTCAGTTGGTTAAGTTGTCTGCTTTCAGCTAGGGTCATGATCTCAGGGTCCTGGAATCAAGACCCTCAACAGGCTTCCTGCTCAGCAGGGAGTCTGCTTCTCCCTCTGCTCCTCCCCACTGCTTATGCGCTCTCTCTCTCAAATAAATTTTTAAAAAAATTTTTTTAGAGATCATTTATTTATTTATTTGTCAGAGAGAGAGAAAGAGCACATAGGCAGGCAGAGTGGCAAGCAGAGGCAGAGGGAGAAGCAGGCTCCCCGTGGAGCAAGGAGCTCAATGAAGGACTCGATCCCAGGATGCTGGGACCATGACCCGAGCCAAAGGCAGCTGCTTAACCAACTGAGCCACTCAGGTGTCCCCCCCAAAAAATTTTTTTTTAAAAACACATGTTCCAACATGAAGTTTGAGGACTTTGTACTAAGTAAAATAAGCCAGCTACAACATGACAAATACTGTATGATTCACTTATACAGAGTCTCAGAAGTAGTGAAATTCATAGACACAGAAAGTAGAATAGTGGTTTCCAAGGAGCTGGGGAGAAGGGAAAGGGGAGTTATCATTTAATGAATATATACTTTCAGTTCTGCAAGATTAAGAATTCTAAAGTTGGATGGTGGTTGCACAACAATGGACTTAATGCCACTGAATCGTAGTCTTAAAAATGGTTAAAAAGGTAAATTTTAAGTTATGTGTATTTTACAAGTAAACATACATATTTAAATGTGTGTATGTTAGAAAGGGTCAAAAATATTAGTAAAATAGATTGCCAAGTATGATGAAAGAGCAATACACAGCAGAATTATAAATTTCCTATAATCATAGGTAAATGGGAAGCTTCATGAAAATTAAAGAGATGTAAATGAATTTCTTTTTACTATGAGCTTGTCATGGATTAAAAAGATTGATAATAACCCCTGAAAATCAAGAATAATGTATAGTATTATTGGTGGTAATTTCTGGAGTTAGGATTACATAAAAATTTTTGAAAGAACAATTATAATGTGAAATTAAAATATACTCTATGATTTTATATATTAAGTAGACAAGTAGACAAAAATATAGGAGAATTTAGATTCTAGAATGTGCAAACAGGCAACACACACATAAACACATATATATTCCATTATGTACATATGTATATCTTTGTTCTTATATCTATATATGTCATGCTGTAAAATGGTTATATATTCTTTGATAATACCCATGAAATATTAACAAAAGTTGATAATGTACTGACTACAAATAAAGCCATCATGAATTCCATAGTTTTAGTTTTTTCCAAGTCATATTTTGTTAAGTCAGTGATATACAAAATAAATAGAATAAAAGTGTTAAAGAAAGTGGGCTTCTTAAGATCACCTTGCCTCAGGGAGGAGGGCATGGGGGTCCGGGGAGGGTGGGTGACAGCTAAAAGTTACAAGGGGTGATAGCTTCTTTTTGAGATGATGGAAATGTTCTAAAATTGTGGTAGTGCTTGCCTATCTGAGAATATACTAAAAACCACTCAATTCTACACTTTAAATAGGTGAACTGTACGGTATATGAAATTATATCTCAATAAAACTTTAAAAAAAAAAAAGATCATTTTCCCTCTCATCTTTATGCTCCAAAACGCATTGACATCACAAGAGCTTCCCCCTTGTTGAGTCCAGGCCTCATCTTTGTCCGGGTACAGGGCCCCAGGAAGAACCATTGGGGACAAAAAATGCATGCAGCCAGATGGCATACCAGCCCGGGGCTTTCAGAGTACACTTACAAGCCCCAGAATACATGGGTGAAGACAGACTCTACGGCAGCTGATTAAATGAAACTAGCTGGATTGAAAGTTTTCCTCTGATCCCAGGCTCAAGAACCACCATTCTACTGACATCAGGACCCAGAGTGACCTTGGGAAAAGAAGCATGAACATTTGCCTCGGATGATCCAAGTTGTCATATGCAAAGTCTCAAATACTGAATAATCCATTCCTGAGATGGGAAATTTTCTGAGTTACAGCAACTCGTTTGGAGGGTTGAAGCAAAAGAAGAAAATCCATATGGAAGCTTAAAAAAATAAGGAGTGAAAGCAGCACTGTTTTGGTGTTAAATGAATGAAGCATAAATTACCTGCCTTCTGTACTTTCTGTTTTTAACTCTGACAGCTGATCTCAACAATTTTAATTTGTGATTGATTCTGAGTGATGTGACTTAAGTGTGCAACCCAAGGGTATTGAAATCATTAATAGTCCATCTTTTTCTTTTTTTTTAAGGAGGACTCATTCTTTTTTTTTTTTAAGATTTTATTTATTTATTTGACAGAGAGAGAGATCACAAGTAGGCAGAGAGGAAGGCAGAGAGAGG